AACTAACCTTTGTCATCTGCAATACATAAATAAATGTGTCATCTATAGCAGTTGTGACAAGGCTTGTCAGCTGTGCTCATGGTGAAGTAGTGTTAAGTCAGATTCATTATTGCTATTAAGTTTCTGAAGTAACTGAACTAAGTCTTTATAAACCTAACTAAGAATAAAATCATATCTTCTAGTTTCACTGTCACCAAGTACTACCAAATTCTTGTCAAGTGTTGGGAAATATAGAATATCAGAATTAGAAATGACAATACAGTGAAAATAGTACCTGATTAATTAATAGTTAATGCATATATAAGAACAAGAGCCATTTTCCTAAAGATACGAGGTAAAAATAAATAAATAAATAAATAAATAAATAAATAAGATATGAGGTCAAAAGATATGAATAGGCATTTTACAAATGAAAACCCAACTGCTAAGAATTCTAAGAAGTGCTCCTTACCACATCAAAATAAGATAAATTCAGAATAAAACAACCCTGTCATTCCACCTCACACCCATCAGATTAGTAAAAATGGCCAAAAAAAAATACAAAAAAAAAATTAAACAACTGTTTGAAGTGTGTGGGAAATTAAGCTCAATGATTCACTGTTTGTGGAGCTGTGAGTCAGTTATTCTTCTGCAGCCTGGACTAGATCCTTGAAATGAGACCACGCTTTGTGCTTTAGTTCTAAACCACACCATTGCTGCTCTATCTGGCTTATGAACTTTTTTCCTTTCTTGCTACACTGTCCAGGGTCTCCGTATGCTGAGAGAAAATGCTGTTCTCACTCTTCATTGGATCTGAGATCTGAAATTGGGTGATGGGCAACAAGACTGCCACTTGGTATTATACCCATCCCAATTCCCCAGTGTGGGTCTGGGGTTTTCCCATGACAGGTCTTTTGTGCTGGTGTGTAACCCTTCCCTGGGCTCTGGAATGCTTCCACCACATGGTCTTACTTTGACTTTGTCCCCAGTTTCTGCAGACATCTTTTTCTGCCTTTCTATGTCATCCTAGATTGGCATAACTTTTTTTTTTTATTTCTTTATCATTATTCAGTCTGGTGGATTAGATTTGTCTGGAAGTGCTGTGAATGGGAACTCAGCTGCATTGCTTCCTTTTACTCTACCATCTAGGCATCCTCTTCCATAATAACTTTTTAATGGTGGGATACTTTTTGTTGTTTGCTCATATTTGCTGTATATTTCCTCACTTCAAGTTTTACATTATGGTTGGGCTGTGAAAACTTCTAAAGGGGATGTGTAGGCTGGTCCTACTACTTCATTCTGCAGTATTGAGTATTATATTACTCCAGGATCTCAAGGACAGCTTAAGATGGGCACCTGAAAGTTTTCAGTCATCTCAAAGTGATTTAATTAAAGGTAATGTCTGATTTTTGCCTACCTGCTTTGAGCTTTGCAAGTGCTCAATGGGGTTTTGGGTCTTACAAGGTAAGCTTGTACCTGGTTGGAAATTCCAGTAGACTTCTACTGGACTCAAACACTATAAACAGTCTGGAGACTACTAGTTCAGAGTGACGCAACTGTAGGTTCACATTTGAATTGGGATTCTTGTGCCAATTATTCAACTGCAGGCTACAGATTGAGCTGAAAGCTGGAACAGAGACTCCACACCATTTCTGGGGTCACAGACACATAGTCGTTTGAACTTTGAACTTGCTTTTGAACTTGCTCCTTACTTGTTACACAACCTTGACCCTTCAAATGCTTCTCAACATAGAATGACACATTTAGATTCAAGTCCTTTCCTCAGTCAGCCTTGGAACTAGGTTATAAAAATTTGCTTCTACATCCTGCTACTCAACCATTTTGGCTCAACTCTTCTAATCTATTTATTCTAAGCACAGATTTAATAGGCATATAGACCAACTGACTTTAGAAAATGATGTTTAGATTTGAACAAAGCAAAATGAATACCATAATAAATTTTGAACTAGTCCATAGAATAGGTACTTAATATTTTTGGATCATGGATTTCTTTGAAAGTCAGGTAAAGCTCATGGAACACTCTTCAGAATAACATTTTTAAATGTATAAAATAAAACACATAGGATTACAAACGAAAATAGTCACATAGAAAAATAGTTAACAAAACAAGTTCACACTCCCTGCAATAATAAAAAAAAACCCTTCCATATCAATTAATGTCATAGGATATACACCAATAGTCATGTGTTTTTATGCTGTTTTCATGTTAATACCTTGAAAGAATTATAGCTTGAAATAACATTATATCAACAAAGGCAGCACGTCTTTCATTCAAGTAGCTCCTATTCTTTCAGGAGAAAGCCATGTATATAGCTAGTGGACAGGATTTAAACAGGGACTAATCTATGTTTAAAAATATTTTTCATCTCTACAGTAGAAATGCTTAATACTTCAAAGGGCATATTGGGGTTAGTACATTTCACTGCATTGTGTAAAATTTATTTATTCATGTGTATTTAGTAGATTCCCTTCTATAGTCTGACTTAAGACTAGTCAGACATTTCCCTCAACTGACAAAGTACAAAACCACAAAAATTAAACACAAAAACTATTTTATTATGGACACTGTATAAGTAGGAGTAGAGGTATTTTGGTTCCTTTAGCAAAAAGGTAGAGGTCTTATATGTGTGTGTGTAAAATGATAAACCAGGTCATTTAATATATTATAAGAATATTTTGAAAACATGTTTTTGAAGAAAAAAATTTTGTCTAAAGATAAATATTGACTTTGAAACTGCCCTTTACATAGACAAAATCAAAGATCAAATTTGTGTATGATATTGTTACTATTGAAGGACAGTAGACCATGACCCTATTTCATTTGTGTTTTTTTAAACCTCTAGAAAATATATATTTGCCTAAAGAGATTTATTACTGACCAGATGAAGCCTCCATTGTGGCTTTGTGAATTTGTAAATGATATAGGTATACCTGGCATTTTGGCATTAGCAGGGTCAATTTTTTTCTCATTTCACTCAACCACTTCCCCCACTGACAACCACGGCCCTATCCTATCTTCATGCTTAACAGAGTTATCCTCAACACAAAGGACACAATTTAATAATTGAGAAATAACTTCCATCTCTTTAAAAAAAATTCAAGGCTTTTCAGTAATCAAAAATGTCCAAATAAAAAATAGGATATGTTAGCGTAGTGGGCTTGGAAGAAGGAGGACTTGCCTTCCTATCCAGCCTTTGTTACTTTAAAGTTCAATGACCCTGCTCATATAATTTGACCTGCAATGATATTGCGTTCTCTTCCATTACTGTAACTTCACTAGGCTGTCTAAATCATAGATCCTACTCATAAAACAAGTTCAAACATGTTTATCATTAATATTTACCTCTTTTTAAAAGCTACTTTGACTTTAGATCTCAACTTACATTTTGCTTGTACTATTTTAAGAAGCATTTTCCACTTTGAAGCTTACTTGAGTGCAACAATGCATTGTATGCATATATCAAACATGAACTGTGTGGAGAAATGTGCTAGGTTCTATGGGATCAACAAGATCTTATAAGATATGGTCCTTGCAAAAAAGAGAAAATAAAATCTTCCTAGCTTCCATGAATCTCATTTTTTTTTATTACAGCTGATTGGAAACTAGCTATTTCTTATGTGATTCTTAATATATTATTAACTTGTATATTTCTTATATGATTCTTAGGCAAAAAAAAAGAGTTACACACATTTAAGACACTTATTTCCATTTTTTCTAATCAAGCTAAATTGAGTGGATATCTATGCCCAATTTGCACTGCTAAAATAGTTAGAATTCCAGGAATATAGTCCCCATTGTAATTATTAGCCATACAACATTAAGAAGTTATTACATCCTAGAATTTATTTTCACAAAAGTATGATGGTGATAATATCTTCCTCGCTTACTTCACAAAATTGCTGTGATGGTGTCTAGAAGAAGAAGAACTGGACTAGTAATTAGGAACTGTGGTGTCTAGTCCTGTTCTACAACAACCACAATATGTTTGATATCAGGAAATCAATTTGTCCTCATTGGGCCTAAATTTCCTGAACTATTAAATGAGAAGATTAGAATAGTTGACTTCTAAGGTCCTGCCTAGCCACAAATTCCTACAATTATATAAAATGTGATAATGTGAGTTTTGGAAACCACAAAGTACTATACAAATGTAAGGCAACATTATTAATAACATTAATTTATTGGTTGAGGCAAGATGGGAAAGAAGGCATGGAATCCGATCTTCCTTAATGAATCTATGGATAACTTCCTACTTTTAACTCACCAGCCTAATATGTAATTTTATGAGACTTTTTTTCCCCATTTCAATCAGTTCAAGTTAATTATTTTAATTTATTTCCAATAAAAAGGGTGTAAAAAAACTGCTTTGGTGGAGAAACTAAATTGTTAATTGCAACTAAGTTCTCACTTAAGGAGCATACATATACATATATATAATATATATGTGTATATATGTGCATGTGTATATATACATACACACATACACATATACATACATGTACACATACATATATGTATATATGTATAATAAGTAATGGAAAATGTGTCTTTCCCTACAACTGAAATCATATTAGGAATGACACATCTAATAAATTCTTTACCTTCTTTGGCAGTAATAGCCTGATATTAAATGTAGAATATATTCCTCTTTAATGCAGAGATTCTCATTAAGGTATTTTTCAAATACATTTTGAAACACAGACAACTCATTTAAAATCATACTAGTACCATTTTGTGGCATTCTGATTTTCTTTGGCATTAGGATAAATAAATAAAATCATCCAGGAATAATCACATCAGAAATAAAAATAAAGTTTACTATGGAGTTGAGAGTCTTCAGTAATTAAAATCGTGCTAGTATGAAACATTATTTTTAGTGGATATCTAAAAAGAAGATGATCAGCTTATCATGCCTTGTAGAGGAGAAGGTTTCAAAGAAAAGAAAGCATTTTTTTTTTCTAATCCAGATTAAAGGACATGATGAAGATAGAGGACCAACCTGTTTTGGGATCAACAGAGAAGTATGGCTGTCCTTGAAGAATACTATACACCACTCGAGCACTGTTTCCATAGGTTGGGTCATCTGCATCTGTAGCTGTCACCTGTAGAACAGAAGTACCTGTGAATTCAAGAAAATATAATTTATTTGACAATGATATTCAACATAGAATAATTTTAAAATAAAACATAGACCATACATACCTATGTGAGATATGTTATAATCTCTCCAAGTATATACACACACATATGTTATCTTTAGAGAATCATTGTAAATACTAAGAAACACACAAATGTTCCTCAAAAGTTATTCTTATTAGAATATGGCCCCTTTAAGTATAATCCCATTGCTCTTGAGAAATCTATAAGCTGTCTAGAATTAGTCCAGTTATACAATTCAAGCAACTGAAGAACATTCAAGGCATAATTGTCATACTTTCAAACATTAACTGAAACCAACCATGGTGTTTAGGATGAAAAACAGAAGAGTTCTGTTCAAGCATAATCCAATGTTTTTTTCTCAGCATTTGCTATTTCTTTCAAATATATTAAAACTTCATTTTTTAAAGCAATTAACAATAACTAAGCTTAGTTATATTGAAGGTCAAATCATAAATTGTCTATATGCTGATTTGTCTGTGCATTTCTCTCAGACTAATAAAAAAATGAAACACAGCCCTTCATTATCCTTCAATATATTTAAAAAATAGTCCTTCAAAGACAATCACATCTGATCATTTCTTCTTGTTGTTGTTTTTTATTGTTTTTCACTTAACCATGAAGGGATTCTTATAAATTTAGCTAAGAAAAATCATTATAGTAAAAAGAAGGTTGTAATGCCTAAATTTCAACAAGATTTATTTATCAAACAACATATATCGGTTTTATGTAAGGAAAACTTCCTAACAACTGGAGCCATCGAAAGTGGAGTAGGCAATCTTTATAAATAATGAGTTTTCTGTCACCAAAATGTGAAATTCTGAATGACTAGAAGCCAGATGATCAATTGCTAGAGATGTTTTGTAGGGATTCCTATTCAGGTATAGAATGGATTCAATGACCTTGAGGTCTTTCTAATTCTGAAATTCTATCAGTCTCTCAATTGTGCTAGTCTAAAAAACAATTGCTTGGGGATTATATGTAATATATAGCTACAAGTAATGTGTTTTCTTTTCCTTGTGGGTAGGAAGGATAGGGGATGCGACATGAGATTTCATTAGATTAGGGAACTTCTTCCTGGTGAGGAAACTCTCAACTAATTGGCATCTGTTCTTTAAAAATCACAGAGAATTCACTTGGGGCACTGGGAGGGTAAATGATTTGCCAACAGTCACACAGGATGTGTAAAAAATGGCACTTGAACCAAAGTCTTTCTGATTCTTAGATCAGTTCTCAATCCACAATATCACATTGTTATTGTTTCATTAGTCATGATATTTTGAATAATAAATAAAAATCTAGAATTCTTAAAAAAATGTGATAATGGATCATCTTCTACTAAAGAGATCATAGGCCAAATTCTTCTTGCCTAACACGTGGCTTCATAAATATCCTTATTCCAAATATTTTTGAAGCAAAAAAAGGGAAACAAAAACCTTTCTAATACTGTTATAGTCAAGATTTAACTATCCATAATAGAGTAAAAAAAAAAAAAGAATGAAATGTGGGCAATATAAAATGACATGATTTTTAAAAGAATTTAATTTGCCTCTGGGAATCAATTTAATTAAACATTTTTTTCTAATTTGTCCAGACCACTATGCTAACATTGACAGAGTTGGGGGGAGCAGTAATGACAGAAGCACAAATAATGACAATATAGAATAGAATAGTATTTAACATATCAATTAAGACATGTAAGAAATATCCTGTGTGATTTTTGAGGGCAGAAAAGTAGAAAATCCATTACCAACTTGGGAAGTGGATTGGGAAAATAAGGAGGGGGATGATCAGAAAAGGCTTCCTATAATAGGGAGCATTTGTTTGATCCATGCTTTAAAAGCAGAATAAGAATTTAAAAGGAAATAGAAAGAAAGGCAAAGAGAGGGAGAACATTCCGAGGAAAAAATAGAACTATCAAAGCCATGGAGTTAGCAAATAAGAGAATATGTATGTAAGGACAATGAATAATACACTTCTTTCATTCACTCATTTACTTCTTTTGCTTCAACTCTGATCTCCATAATAGATATTATATATTATGAATTATGTTATATAGTTGCATATAGCATTTATATAAACATATAATAAATAATATATAAATATTTGTATATTTGTACACATTTGTATAGTTATGTCTCATATATATCATATATATACGCATGCATATACATATTTCTATCACCATCTCTGATACATTTTGAGTATCAAGCAAGGTAACTATAGCTTCAGAATGAAAAATACAATGATCAATGAGATTTTTGACTTAGATCTTCCACTAATAGTTGGTACAGACATTTGTAATAAAGCTTTTGCTGAGAGATTCAATCCTGTTGTGAGAGTTAAGAATTGTAGGGGAATGACTGGTAGAGACTGCAGCACTGGTCTGCTGTTTGACTCAAATCAGGTTCTGAATTGTTTAGTATCAAATAAATTTAGCTTGCTGACAGTTGTTCATTTAATTCTAGAGAAATCAAAATGATACATTAAGCTTACTTGGAATAACTCAGCTAGATTTTTAGACCCAATACCACATATTTTTACCCCTTGATTAGTTCCCCATGGGTTTAATTCTCATCTTCATGCAGATGATTTCCACTGCAACACCAGATATCTGTATTCAGTTCTAGGCACTCTTCTAAGCTTAAGATCAGCATCAACAACTGTCTCCTTTATATTTTAAGCTAGACATCTAATAGATACCTCAAACTCAATATGTCCCAGGCAGTACTCATTATCTTTCCCCAAACCTATTCTCTTCAAAATTTCTGTATTTCATTGAAGGGAACTACCATTTTTCCCATCACCAAGGTTTGATTCTTTAGTGTCCCTGACTCCTCATTTCCAACCTACATTTCCAATTAATAGTCAAATTTTCTTATCCCTACTTGCATAATATTTCTTGAATGCTACTCCCTCCTTCCACTCACATAGCTATCATTACTTTTTGCCTAGAATATTATAATAGCCTTCTAATTGGTCTCCTTGCTTCAAGAACCTCCTGTCCCCCAAATCCATCTTCCACATAGTTGTCAAAGTGATTTTCCTAAGTTTGACCATTTCTCTCTATTATTTAGAAAATTCTGATAGTTTCCTATTACATCTAGAATCAGATATAAACTTCTATATCCCTATCACCTTTTGCACTATAGGTACTTCAATTGATTGATTCACCTGGCATAACCTTGATTTTTGGAAAATTTGAAGGGACCATATCAAGGATCGTGGATTTAGAGCTTGGAGGAAACTTAGACATCATCCAGCATAACCTGTTCATTTTAGAGATGAAGAAACAGGTTCAGATTATTAAAGTGGCTTCTTCAAGGTGACACAGGTTAACAGGAATGTAGTCTGACACTGGAATGAGTACTGAGTCTGGACTTTAGAGGACATGGGTTCAAAATCCTATTTGAAACTTATAACCTATGTTTCCTTGGGCAAATTATTTCTCTGTTCTACAGTTTCCTCATCTGTAAAAGGACAGATTGAACTCAGTAGCTTGTGAATTGCTTACCATCTCTAGACTTACAGCCCTATTATCTTTTGTATCAGAACTGAAATCTGAACATGAAATCAGACTTCAAGTCTAGTATGCTTTCCACTACATCCATTGATTATCCTTGTACCCTTGAAACTGGTGGGCAAAAAGATTATTAGTGTTTTGGAGCAGAGTTTTTGACAAGTAGCAAGTGGATGCTATAGTGTTAATCTTAGCAAAACAAAAGTAAATAGATCAGTTCATTTTCTAAATTGAATGTTTAGATCATTAATCATCTCTTGGATTTGGTTAATTTTTTCAGAACTATAATTTATTTTCTGAGTGCTGATTTACTGCACTCCCCCCCAAATGCTGGTATATTGTCTCATTGTTATCATTTTCTTTAACATAGATGTTTATTTTTCTATGATTTGATCATTTACTTACTATTTATTTAGAATTACATTAATTATTCTTCATTTAGGTATATCCTTTACTTATGCTCCCTGTATTATTATTTTATTTATTTATATCCTATATAAGAACATTCAATATTTTACTTTTATTTATGATTTTCATATGCCCATTATTAAATTTTGCAGTCCATTTGTTTCTAATAGATATGCATGTTCTATAATATTCTTGTCAAGAAGACCTCATAAGTCTTTCAAGTACATTTTTTTCTAAAATTCTGTTCAGCATTATGTTTTGTTTAAAAAAAAACTTTTCACTGTTATGTTTAGCTATCTCTCAGAAAGAAATATTAGGTCTCCTGCAATTGTATTACCCAGTGTGTCTTTTTGTAATTCAGTTACCTTTTTTTTTTTTAACAACAAAGATGCCATTCATTGCATATCCATTTAGTTTATTGTCTATCATACCTTAATCATACTGAAGTTTACTCATTTATCTCAACATTTAGAATTTTTATTGATGTCTTACTTGAAATACGTTTTACAATTGTACTTGTTTTGGAAATTACTAGAAGTAAAATGCATTTTGTTTCAGACCACTACTTTCATTTGTTATGTGACTTTATTTGTACATACATTTCTTATTTAGAGTGTCATTTCTATGTGCCATCTAATAGGCTGAAATTCTTCTGCCATATGTTAGCCCTACCTATAAAGTCCAAGCCAGATGAAAAGAGTATTCAAGGATCAGAGGAGCTGACTGGAGATGATAATGACAAAAATCCAGACCAGTATCGAAATTGAAGAGGGTACAGGATTGAGACCGAGAGGAAAGGACAGTAGTTTGAGGATATTCTCTCCAATCCTGGATTGCCCTAGACTCCACAACTCCATGAGGAGATAATAAAGCAGAAAGGAGCAATGAAATTCCTAATCAGCTCAATGAATCAGTCAATGAGCAGCCATACCAGAAAGCAGTCAGAGAAATACTAGAAGTGACTGTAAGTGATAGAATGATGAATGGAAAAGCAGCAAAGCACCAAGGAACCTACACTCAAGCTCATGCTTATG